CTGTATAAGTAGTATTGTGTAATGAACTCAAACCATTGTGTATTTAACTCGAATCATTGTACTTAACTCGAATTTTGCTACAAAAGGCTCCGTTCTTAACTATGGGTCGTCCTTAAACCCGGCGTTCTTAACCCGCAGACTACCTGTAATCACTGTTATATGGAAATGTATTAAGGAATGAATAAAAGACTTTGCAGGTAAGGCAGAATTTGCCTTGACGCTGCAAATATTGACCTCAGTGGTGTTAAGGGCAGCTTTGCAAATCTGGAAATGTTCAGAGCTACCATCTTCACTCATTTGAGAGCCTCAGGTTTAGAAATACCGCTTTGCAAGATACTGAAAATAGTGTCTAAGAAAGTCTGCTTGCTTTTTAATTTGAAATAATAAAAGGTTACATCCTCTGTTCAGTTCCTAATTACTCTCTGCATCCTTTGTCCTCACAGCAAATTAGTAAGCTCTGATGTGAGCAGAAGGAAATGGCTGATCCCGGGATCAGAGTTTTCAATCTTTACTGGTCAGCCTTTGGAAGCCCAAGAGAGTCCCAGTGATAATCGACTTGAAAAAGGATTCAGTTCTAGGTAAGGAATATTTATTCTCAGATGAGAGTAACTGTTGTCATAAAAACTGTTCTCCTATCAGAATCAATAGCTTAAGGGTCTGGCATGGAGTAAAATCCTTGCTCTCAATACACCCTAACTGGGCTGGGCTGTGGGAATTTTGAAATCCCTTTCCAGTGGCTTTTATTCCTGGTCTACAGTGAATAAGTTCCAGACTAAGTTATTTGGGGGGGAAAAAAAACCTCTCGTGGATTACAGTGGGGGTTTAATTCAGATAATTTAATCTGGATTTGAGTCTGGCAAAAGGAAACAATTGCTGCAAATATACTTGACCTTTTCAGCAGTAGGATAAATATGCATGATTCTCCTGAATGTTTCTAGGCATCATTCTCCTCCAGAGAAGGATTCCTCTCCAAATTGCCTTCTAACCAATGAAGCAATTAAAAAAGAAATCAAAACCCAAGAAATTCCCATCCTAAAAGCCTTTAAAGAATTTGAAGAAAGGAAGGCTTTGAAAAACCGGGGCACTCAGGCAGAGAAAGAGGAAGAGGAACCAGCAGAGACCAGCAGTAAGTCACTTTTTAATAATTTTGATTTCCTTATTCTCCCCCTCTCACCCCCCTAGGTTTCCTTCTATTTCTTCCTGTGAACGAGAGTTGTGCTGGCCCGGATTTAGATGAAAGAATGCCTCTGTGTAAAAAACAAAGCCCTTTTAACAAGATACAGACATCCAGGATGCACCAGAACCAATACTCAATGCATCCAGTTTCATTTTGCCTCTCTGAATATTTCTAGGGTTATGCATACGTGTATACATACACCCCGTATACGGACATAATGAAAATTGCTTTCAGCGTTTCTGTGTTGTAGGAAGAAGGACAGGGATGATTTGCACAAATACATTCCTAGCTAAAATCCTCCCCGCTGCTTTTGCTTATTTCAGAAGCCGTCGTTCGGCGGCCAGTTGTTGGATTTGACGAGACATCCCTGGGTACCAGTCGTTCCCCAGAGAAGAGCAAAGAGCAGCCAAGGCACAAAAAATTCAACTTGCCCAGCACCCAGAGATCTTCATCTCTCCCACCTTCAAACAGGAAGATAAATACACCAAGTAAAAAATTCAGATTGTCTAATTCAGCGTTTTTCAAACTTGGGGGCTTGAAGATGGGTGGACTTCAACTCTCAGATGCTGGCTGGGGAATTCTGGAAGTTGATGTCCACCCATATTCAAGTGCCCAAGTTTGAAAAACACTGGTCTAATTTATCCTTTCAGTGTGGATGCTTCTAATAGGCTGTTATCCTCCAGAGCGATTATTTTATGGGTATTCTGTCTTGTAAATGTGGGGGGCGGGGTGCTGTTTGGGATGCTAGAATTGGATTAAAACATGGATAGCCTTCAGAGACGCCTGCACCCATGTTGACCCCTCTTAGACAGAAAATCCTGGGAAAAAGATCTTGAATAGCATGCCTTTGTTGCAAACGTCGGGGTGGGGGCGGTGAACACAAGGCAACAAAGCTTTAGGTGCCTTCTCGAAGATTTAAGAACTCCTGCCTCGTTTCTCTTTGCAGCAAAGAGAGAGATCATGTTGACTCCAGTTGCTGTGACCTACAGCCCCAAACGCTCCCCCAAAGAAAACCTGTCTCCAGGGTTTAGCCACTTTCTCAGCAGAAATGAAGACACGATGACGAGGTATTCACTCCCTCAGCTGATCTGCGAGCACATTGCAAGCAGGTCTTTCAGCTGTTTTTGTCAAGTTTCAAATGTAGTTGATGCTTTCCTAAGCTGGCAGGAAATGGCCTTTTGAATCTTCCTATTTATTCAGTTTCCGCAGGAACAAAGTATACATTTTGCCAGCATTCATTTGGGAAGGCGGGGGGGAAACCTCTGTGCAAGTAACTTTCTTCCTTTCTATGCTAGGTTTGATATCTTTTTGGATGATGTAGCAACTGCTCCTGCGTCTGCATTGCAGTACAGCAACCCACGAAAAAGGCTCCAGTTTTGCTCAGGCTGTGATACAGAAGGTAAATGTTCACAGTAGGTGAGATTCTGTTCTTTGCTGTTTGAATTTTTTAAAAGCTGCTGATCTGTGACATCTCAGACATTCCGTTTGTGTGGATGAGAGGTGTTTGTATGGCTGTCATACGGAGCGTTGTGTATGATTTCTGAAAGCCATTAGCGATGAAGAATTACAAAATACAGTAAAACCTTGGTTTGCGAATATAATTCGTTCCAGAAACATGCTTGTAATCCAAAGCACTTGTATATCAAAGCGATCACCCACAATCCTGCAGCGAGAGAGAGAAGAAACATTGGCTCAATTGTGATCATGTGACGTTCGGCGTCACGTACTACTCGTATTGCAAGACATCGCTCGTTTATCAAGTTAAAATTTATTAGAAATGTTTGCTCGTCTTGCGGAACACTCGCAGATCAAGTTATTCACAATCCAAGG